AATATCATAAATCTTCTACAAAGCCATAAACCCACAGGAAATGAAAATGCATCATGAGATCAGGCGCCGTATTTTTTAAGAATTGCTACCTCAGATTATTTTTTTTTTTGCTCCCTTTAAAACAGCAAACAAACATTTTTCTTTGTATGTCAAATTACTGTACTGAGATTAAAAACAACTCAGAATTTGTAATGTTCAATTTGTTTTTGTTAAATAACAGTTTGTCACAGAACCGTCACTTGGGTTGCTCTAACGCTGTTAGGATGGGATGCTAGCGATAYGTAGCAAGCTGAGATGTTTATGCATAAAACAAAGAAAATTTCCATCTTTTAGGGAAAGTCATACTGAAATACTGAGCAGCTTGGCAGGCACGATTTTCCCAACGCATCAGTCCCTCTCCTGGACTGACAAGTTATTTGGGAGCTGCCTGTGTGCTCAGCCCCCTTGGACAGAGTAAGCTGAGCTCTCAGACATGCTCCAAATTTGGGCTGACAAATATCAAACCCATCATTTGTCAACTTTTGCTCTCCAGAAAGAAGTTTTGAGTTCCTGAGAAGGAAATCTTCAAATTGTGTCCCTAAATGAATGAAAATGGACACTAGCCCAACTCACAACCAACTTAAGCCCTGATATTAAAACCAGGCCTCCTTCCGACTTCCATCCGACTCCAATTGATGTAGGCACGGGAGGATGGATTGAATTACACTGAGCCGGAATAATCTTGTGGCCCTGCTTTGAAAACCCTTTTGAAGCAATTACAGGAATGTCTTCATCTTTTCTGTGTATGTCAAGCAGGAGACTAAAGACAAATTAAATATGGAAATACATAATGCATGAGAATAGAGAGTGATCTTAGCGAGGGGAAGCGGCGCGTGGGGGGTGCATGTGGCAGGAGAAAGGGGGAGCACAGCCGCAGTGAACACGACAGGATGGTTCCAAGATAGAGCAATCAGAGAAATGGGCAGGGGTGAACTGCATGTATGGACTGCAAGGGAGGTAGAACAGAAAATGGAGGCAAAAGCAGCCAAACCGAGAGAGTGATAAAGGAAATTGTGGGTTAAAAATGGAAGAGAAAGAAATAGACTTTAATATTGAAAGTGGAGATGTCCACAATTACCTAAGATAGTCCACAAAAACAAGGAGGCCTTATTAAATGCTAAGCAGTTGGCAAGATGTTCACATTGACTACTAGAAATCAGCTATTATATAAGAGCTGGAAAATAAAACCTGTGCAGGAGAGCTGTCTCTCCATTCTTATGAATTACAGGATTTCCATCCAAGTATCTGGTACTGGCCACTGGCAAACAGAGTACTTGAAGAGCACAGACACTTAATTTGGTCTACTATTGCATTTCCCACATGCCTAAGGAAAAAAAAWWAWTWAAAAAAAAAAAATCAGGAACAGTGTGGCCAAACTGTTTTTAAAAGCAACCTTCAATTTTAGGCAGAGATTTATAGATGAGGGGTTTTTTTTCTCCACTTGCACTGTCTTACAGATTTGCCTGTCACTCTTAAGCATTTTTCTATTTATTAAAGGTAAAGATCTATGAGCCGCAAGAACCAAACGAAGTTGTGAACCCCAGTAAAATGCCCTCTTGACATTTCCAGTGTTGTTTAGTCTGTASCAGTGACAATCCAACATTTAATACTTTCTTTTTAAAACAGACAGTCCCTGTCTTGGTGATAAATCTTGAGAGTTACCAAGTCAGGCATAAAACACATTTTCTCCCATTTAAGTTTTTAAGAGAAAATTCTTTATCTCTGTGTAACCTTTTCCAAACAGTCCATGTGTTAAAAAGCTGAGCATGATAGTGGTGCATAAATAACCTAGAAATAAGGAAGAAATATAAGGAAATAAGCTCCCTCTCATACTGTTGGAAAGATTAATGTCCTGTTCTACTTAGTGATGCCGCTTCTCTTGGACTTTGTCTTTATCTGACTTTGTTTTTTGACAATGCTGCTTCTGGGTCTGTTTTTGTGAGCTGCTGAGTACCTTCACCTCATTTTGACAACAATAAGAATGGATATATTTCACTCAATCTCCAACAAATATTCTCTAGTCATCGGTTTTACAGTCATATAACACTGAGCAGATTTTTAGAGGATGCTGAAAATCTTTGTAGAAATCACTTGTATAAAGTATCTCTTACATATTTCAGGAGATGGTACATGTCTAGGAATAGGCAGGTTTTTCTATACAGTTGATAAATATRCATGGAAATACAATGACATTAAACCATATTTTTTAATATTCATAATGAACGCTACTCTTAATTCTCATCCTCCCCTCCTTTGCTCTGAAAGGAAACTGCTGCCCAGATACACCCAGATGGGAGCTCCTCGACTGCTTTGCTATTTTTCATTTTTTACCTTAGAAGCTGATTTTTGTTCATTCTGTTTACAAATGCTATTTTTCCTCTGTACTAAGGGAACCATCAGTTCCATGAATGTGTGATATTGCTCAGAGACACTCAACACTATATGGGCTTCTAAGCTTATATTGTGCTTCATGTACCTTTTGAGCCAATGTGTGAAATACAGCAACACTGGGGTGCTGGTCTGAATAAGCACAGCCCAGAAAAAAAAAATGGCACTTAATAATTACTTCATAATGTGTGTTTGCTCCAGTTTCTGGCATGCTGATAAGTGTAAGGGAAAGTCTCTGAAACTTCCTTGCCCGGATCCTGCTTTATGCATAGTATCAGCAGGTCTCTTTAAGAAACATTTATGAATTACACTCTGAGTAACATGCACAATAAACAAAGTACTTTCCAAGACAAAGATGGTCTAATATTTAAAGCAAAATTCTTTCCATTTGCGTAAACCACTCCATTCTTAGCCTTGTAATAAAAGCTAGGCATTTTTTCCATGACAATTTTCAGAACTTGTAGGCAATCTGGAACGTCCAAGTTATTGTAGTGTCATTACTGTAGCAACAGAATGACTTGAAGCACAATTATTCTATGAATCAAATCCAAATGTTTTGTAAATTTCTAAAATTAAAAAWATATAGCAAGTAGGTCCTTTACTACACAGTATATACATTGGTTGGAAAATACTGGTATAAAAAGAGCTGCTCAGGAATTCTTCATTGTTTCTAAGTGTATTTGAAGGACAGTGCTTTAAAGTGTATGTATTTTTAAGTCTCAATATTGAAAATGCTAGCTTAAAAACAAACCTGTTAGTAACTTCACTTTGTAAGGTCAATATTGTCACTGATGTCTGTAGCTTTCTGATGGACTTTTCAATCTTTTGTCACTGTAAAACTCTTTGCAATGGTGTTTGCATTTCAATTTAATAAAACAGTCCTTGAATAAATTTTATATAATCTTCTAGCTCTTTTCATCATGGAATTTATCAATTCCTGTATATAATGTGTAACAAGTAAGGATAAAACCAGGCATCCAGCATGGTTCATGGGATGGGCTCCCACCGTTCTGCACATGGAAAGACCAGTGCCAAATATATTTAAGCCACCCATGTCATCTGCATCGAGCAATTGATCTGAYGTGTGGGAAGCTCCCAATTTGTGGGTGTCCTGAGAACACAACATGAAGTGCTCTGTACATATAAGCAGARTATGACAGAAGGAGATTTACTCTCCAGCTTCTTGGAGGAGCTGGTTAGAAAACTTGGCTCACTGCTGCTCACATTTCACTCATAGCGTAGAGTCTGTAGGGCATAAACAGGCAATATATTCACATGACCCAAACCTTTGGGGAGGAAAGTTTGAGCAATGCTACTAGCTACAACCAGTCTTCTAGGTGTCATGGGAAGCACCCAGTTTATGCAGACAGCTCATTCACAAGGCCACATTTTTTTTTTATATTCATGCTTCTTTATGGCTCTTTGTTTAGAAGAAAATGATGTCTGATAACTGGCACTGCCAGTTATCAAAAGTAAAGCTTGATAGAGAAAGCTCGGGAACCTGGGCACCCTGGGGTGCAGAAATGCTGCACGGATTGCTGGAAATGCCAAGTGTCTGACTCCTTGCTGCAAGAGCAGGAGTGTTTCTTGCAAAACAGAGGGTACCTCCAGGGCAAGGGGCCACAGCTGCTGCTGCCCGGAGCTGGTGGAAATACAGTGAGAATTTAAAACAGCAGATTAATTTCATATCTTTGAAGTCATTGCAAAATTGAGGTGTTGCACATGAATCACAGCAGGGAATAGAAAGGAAATGTCACTGTAAGGAGACTCTCCTGCAAAGGTCATTACACTTGCTATCAGCTGAGAGCTTTTACAATTTAGGGGGAAAAAAATCACCTGCTCTGCTACAGCTGTGGCCACAAAAGAAAACATGGGGCACAGGAGCCCCTCAGTCTCTCCAAAAGCTTRAAGGAGACAGAATTCAGGTATTTTGGTGCCTTATTTTTTAGCAGCTGTTACTACTCTGTCTGTAAGCTTGTTTTTGTAAAGTTTTAAATTCACTTTACCAGGAGTACCCATCTGATAAAACACTTTTTCCCAGTAACTTAGGTCTGGGAGGTTTGGCCATTGCCCTACCAACCTTTCTGGAGCGGGATAAAAATGACTTTATTGTGATTAGCTTCTCTCAGAGCTTCACAAAAGGCCTCGGGGGAGTGACGCTTGTAGGGAAAATGTTTGTTAGTTGCTTGTTTGTTTGCTTTGATCCAACCACTACACATAGGGAAGATAATTCAAAAATACATCAGCTTTCAGGTACCACGAGCCCTGTGCGGGTCTGCTGGGGCCCGGCCGCGGCCATGGCGCCATGGAGGGAGGGAAGAGGCGACATGGCGGAGCCGGGACGGGATGCGGCCGGGCCGGCGATGGCGACGCCTCCACCTCGGCTCCCGCCTCCCCGCTGTCCGGCCGGGAGGGTCAGTGCCCGGGGGCGTCGGCCGGGAGGCCAGCGCTGGAGCGGCGCCACTGGAGGCGGCCGCGGCCGTTGGTGCGGGGGGTTCCCGCCCTCCGTCGCCTCCGTCCCGCGGCGCCGTTGGCGGCCATGGCCGGCGCGCTGGGGCCGCTGCTGCGGGGCCGCCGGCGGCCGCTCGGCGGTAAGGAGCGGGGCGGGAGCCGCTGCGGGGCCAGCCTGGGCGAATTCCCGGCTAGTTCATGGCTAATTTCTTAGTGCCCGAGGGGCTATGAGGGGAGACACGGCAGGTCTGACTTAATCAGCAAACTTCACTCCCCATCAAGTATATTTAAGAAATTTGCAGTCTTCTCAGTCAATTCAAAGTCTCCTTTACCTTTACAAAGATGCAGTGCTCAATAAGGTGCTTTCCCCCCAAAGCTAATCTCTCAGGGGAAAAAAAAAAAGTTTGCCAGGGCTGTTGTGTTGTTTCTGTGTTGTGCGATTGAGCTCTTTCGGATGTGCACTTTGGTACTTGCCCACTACTAGGAATATTAACTTGCTGTTTTGTAGTTGCTTTTGGGCTGCAGAAATGGAAAAGCTCCGTCTCCCTGCAAGCAAAAATGCCCCCGTGCGACTTCGTACCTGAAAAATACCAAGTAAGTCCTATGTGCTGCACGGGAGCCAAGTAAAGGCTGCCCTGAGAGMCCCGGGTGATGGGCTCTTTTCCTCTAAATCTGTTACAATTTAAGCAGTCTGCTTTTTTGGGAAGAACAGTGATGTTGCAACTATGAAATATAYGTATAGTTTTACCTATGTAATGTTAGGGATAAGTTGTTGATTTGAAAGACTTTAAGGGAGTAAGGGCAGGACAACAGAAGGGCAGAATAAGGGCAGTCTCGTTGAAAGCTGAATCTCATACATGTATAGAGGTCCATGAGTGCTAACATTTGGTKAAGCCTTTCTGTGAACCGCTATGGACCACATGTGTGAGCCATGAATTTTGAGTCTGAATCTTCCRAGTGTCAATGCATATTGACTTGTTATTCCACGCAGTCCTACACATATGACCATATGCTGGAGATCCGCAAGCGAAATGTCGCTCCTACCCTGTTAATGGTTTACAAGAAGCCACTGTTGCTGCATCAAGGSCACATGCAGTGGCTGTTTGATTACGAAGGACGACGATACCTTGATYTATTTGCTGGAATTGCTACTGTCAGCGTTGGTCATTGTCACCCGTAAGTATCTGCTGCTTGATGTACCCAACCAAGTACAGAAAGAGATGCTCCGAATGGTTTTATCCTCTGTTAATTTTTGGCTGCCTGAACCCCAAACCAGAGTTTATCTTGCTATGTTTTCATACATCTCTCAAAATCAGTTCTTACTATATGGTAAAGCATTCATTCATTCTACTTGTTTGTTCACTTGTCTGGCAAGTAGAGCAGTGTCAGAGTTTGAAGGGGTAGTAACAGATCTGTGCGTGTGCACGTGCGTGTTGGGTTAAGCCATGTCTTGTGGTGCGTGCAGGAAGGTAACAGCGGCTGCCCAGGCACAGCTCGCCCGCCTTTGGCACACCTCCAGCATCTACATGCACCCGCCGATCCAGGAGTACGCCGAGAAGTTGGCTTCCCTTCTCCCAGATCCGCTGAAGGTGGGCTCTTCCACACCGTGGTGGGGTGTTTATTAGACCAAATCCCTATGCGGAGCAGGAGTAGCTGGGAAGAGAAAACCTGCATGGGGATTGTGGACTGTCAAACAAAGGGAGAAGCTTTGTGACCCTCAGGCCTTTTCTTTGGCCCAAGAAGGACACAAGGATAAAATCTCAGGCTCCTGTTCTGTTTAGATACCTGCTTTCCCCTCAGTTGTTCTGTGAAGGGACCCTGCTGCTGCCTGTTTCTGTGCAGTGAGTCATGCTCATCTTTACCCAAACATCTTTCTTTAAGTCATTGTTTCAACTTAGATACAGTGTGGAAAGGCTGTAGAGTCTAACTGTGGAGACTTCTGCACTGCCCATGAGTAAAACATCATCTTGATCTTGACCCGTATTTGCACGTCCRTGACATTAACATTAGGTTTATTGCTGTGAAGTCGCTTTGCAGCAGTGATGGGTCATAATGTTGCTCATAATGTTGCTTAGGCTGTGTGGTCTCATCCCAAATGACCAGATGGTTGTTGCTGGCTGTACTGATCATGAGCATTTCTCTTTAGGTGGTTTTTCTGACCAACAGTGGGTCAGAAGCCAACGATCTGGCAGTGTTCCTGGCAAGGTTATATACCCGTAACTTCGACATCATCTGTTTCAGGTAATGGTGATGTGATCTTTGGGAAACTCACTCTGTGTCTGTTATTCTCTATGTGCATAAGACATGAAGCAATGTGGAACTCAGTCTGCTCAACATACATTCAGATTGATTTATCAGACAAAGAGCGAAACATCAATATTGGGAGTTGAAGTTTTGATGCAATGAGTGAGGGATGGCTAAAAGACAACCTGTGATTTATGCCTTCATTATTTAAAAACAGATCTAATCCTTGTGTTACCTGCTTCCCCTGATCCCACCCTGCAGTACTGAGCCATTCAGGGATACAGAGGTTCAGCTGGGACAGACGAGCAGTGACCCAGAGCAGGGAACTGATCTGGCTGAAAACTGACTCAGCAAAAGGACTGGGCACTTTTTTGTTCTTGTTTGTTCTGCTGGTTTGTTTTTCTGCCAGACCTYGATGTGTTTTGCTGCACAGCTGCACTGGCAGCTTCTCTGCCTTAATTACAGAGGTGGTGCACGAGTGAGGACTGTGTCACCATCAGTATAAGCAATTCTGCACTCGCTGGGCATCCAAACTCTCAGATATTAGAGTAAAAGCACCTGTTAAAATATAYTAGCTTTTAGGGAAAATGGCACTTTTTCTGCCATTCTGTACAGAGGGGAAAAAAAAAAAAAAGTGAATCCACCTAATTTGTATATTCCCCCTGGTGAATTTCTGATTTATGTATAAAGCTAGCATTAATCCACCAGGTAGTGTAATGATTGGCAAGACGTGTTTGCGAGAGCAGAGGTTCCCAAGGTGCAAGGAATGGAGATGCTTATTCCCTGGGGCTCAGCTGCTGCAGGAGAGCTGCACAAAAACTGTCTGAATTGCTGCTGATCCCAGTCTGCTTCTTCTCCCTTTGTGAACATCAGCTCCTGGTTTAACATTGGCCATTGCAGGAAACGTTGCAGATGGGTAGCYGCAAGTACTCCAAAATCAGAGCAAAAACAGGCAGTAGGAATGTAATTGTTTTGAGAGCAGTGGTGAATGCTTTCCTCTGTGATTTGGAGCTCGGGGGCATGTCCTGCCAGGGCTGATGTTGCTGCAGGTTCCTCTCAGACGTGCCTGCTGATCCTGTGCTTGTGTGTTTGCAGAGGAGCCTACCACGGAGGCAGCCCTTACATGCTGGGAGTGACATCTGTTGGTTACTATAAGCATGGTGTTGCCAATGGCTTTGGCTGTGCAACGGTGAGTTATTTTTATTTATGTATTTTAAATAATCTGTGTACCTAACAGTTTGTTTGAGTGTTTCAACCTTTAGCAGGTGCTTCATTAACTGAACTGCAGTGTTTCTGCTGGGTAAGCAAAGCGAGAGCTGGAGTGCCCTTTCCCTCCGTGTTATTTAGGTAGCTGTAATTACTGACTAACTGACTCTTGAGAGCAAAGCAAAGAAAATCATCAACTGAGTGACTGCTGCTGGAATGGTCAGACAGGGATCTTTTTCTTCCTCTCCAGAAAAAAACTCTGTCTCTCTCCTACCTCCCATCAGACTTCTTGTCTTTGGGCACGCCTGGCACTCCTTCACAGATGTTGCTTGACTCTAGCAGACTGGCTTCACTTTCTTCCTTGGAGCCATCTCTAGGTATGATCGATATCTCCCTCAGAAAGATGATGCTGTCAGGTCTGTAGCTATTTCCTTTATGCTTGACAGACAATGTTGCCAGATGTTTTTCGTGGTCCATGGGGAGGCAGCCACTGCAGAGATTCTCCAGTGCAAACTGTTCGAAAATGCAGCTGTTCTGAAGGTTGGTCAACGAAAAACAGTGTTTGAGGTTAGGAGGCAGTACAGAGCTGTGGTGTCCATGTGCCCCAGGGCATATTCACTCAACTTTTCAGGAAAGATAAGCATTCATCTATAGGATCCCTGTGTTTGGATTGGCAGACAGCTGAATAAAATAGTGCTGCAAATCTCAGGTAACATTCTATGTGCAGCACAGTGTGAAAGCCTCCCTGTTGCTGCCCTGTAAGCAGCAGTTACAGTGCTTTGCAATATTTACAGTACYGTTTCAACAGGCACCCTAGTATTTTACCTCACGTGCAGAAAAAAAGGTTTTACTGTTTTTATTTTTTGCGCTTCCCAGTAAATGAGGATGTACTGTGCTAATAACTGTGATCTTTGTTATGGTATGGACTGATGGGCTGCTGCACTCTCCAGTCTTACTACCCTGACAGTTTGCTGTGTCTTGTTATGATTTATTAACCCAGGAGAAGCTGATCATTTGCTCTTTTTTTCTGAGATAATTCACAAACGTTTTCACTAATTTAGACCTTATTGACCTGTGTGATGGGCAGCATCTTATTGTGCAGCAGCTTTGCCTTGGGCTTTTGGAACTGGTGCTCCTTGGTGTAAATAGTAAATGGTTTGTGTACATGGTTTCAGCTCAGTCTGAAACTTGTTTTCCATTAGGAAGACTATAGACTAGATGTGCAATTTCATATCTTAAAACTACTCTTGTGTCATTTTAAGTCATCTCTCTCTAAACTGTCTTCCGTATAAACAGGTGTGTGTCATGCCAAGGACCAGTATATTGAACAGTTCAAAGAAACTCTGAATACCTCTGTGCCCAAAACAATAGCTGGATTTATTGTTGAACCCATTCAGGTAGGTGGTTGCAACTTCTGAATTTTGATARCACAGTTTAAATATTATTCTTTAGCTACATCCTAATTGTATACTTCTAACTGCTTCTGGTCCTAAACGTATTAAATATTTGAAGTTTTCTGGAGGTGTGCTATTAGAATTTTTGATACTGATTTCAATAGAGGAGGATTTTCTTCGTGTTACATTGAACAGAAACAGAAGTATTTAAATAGGAACAATGACTCTTTCTACTTTAATTATGCTTTTATTTATTATTTCTGTAAACTTTATCTTGGTCCCTTTCCAGTTCTTCCCAGCCACATCCTGCCCTATGTTTTTAGCRGCCCACCAGCAAGCCAAGGCCCCAGGATTCATTCCTCTTGGTGCTTCATAGCAGCTTCAGAACTGCTATTTGTTTAGCTCTTAAATAGCAAGAAAGTGTGAAGAATATACACCATAAATGCAAAAATACAGTCTTAAAACCATGTCAGGYGCTTTCTAGATTTCTCAGTGTTTTCAAGGTGCTGTTTTGGGTGGTTTAATCCCCTCTGTTTCACAGTGGTGCATTTACAGTGAGGCCTCGGTAACATTTGCACGATGCAGTTACCCCAAGAGGAGGCTGCCCTGTGGGCTGGGAACRAGGGACCTGAGCAGGGAATGTTTGAAGCCGCTGTGCTGCAAAGCCAGCAACTCAGGAGACAGCCCAAGCCTTGCTCTTCCCTGAGGGCTGTTGGTATTCGTTGTAGGATGGTCACCCAGTAAATCCCCTGTTTCTTCATCTGCTCATGAAGAGTTTTGTGTTTTTGCTTTGCCAGGGCGTTAATGGAACTGTTCAGTACCCAAAAGGTTTCCTGAAGGAAGCTTTCCAGCTAGTACGGGAAAGAGGAGGCCTCTGTATTTCAGACGAAGTGAGTTTGTTGCTTTGTTTTCGCTTTATCAAAGCCCTAGAGTGTGAGGTACCTGTGGGAGTCCTTTTAAAGAATCCACGGCTGGAAAATAACCCAAGCGAGTCACTCCGCAGCCAGCTTTCCATTCCGGTGCCCRAGCTTTGCCCGGTGCCTCTCTGCTGCCGTCGCTGCCCCTGCTGCCCGCTGCTCTCTCCTGCTCTCAGCCCCGACACCAGCGCAGCAGCTGCTCCCTGTGGCATTTGGGAGCAGCACCTTTACACCCCCGTGCAGCCTCTAAATACCGACTGTTGGCGCCGTAGCACTTAGGCTCGTGAYGCGGTGCTTTGTGCCAAGTCTGAATATGCAGAGCTGCTGCCCCCCTGGAAGGGTTGGGGGTAGAGCCCCCCTCACGCTTTTGCCCCCTCCTTTGTACCAGGCCTAACACTTAGTGAGATGGGAGGAAAAAACAGAAAAGCAAAGGAAGACCAAATTACAAATCCTCCTGTAATAGATGACTCTGTATTTCACTGTAGATATTAGAGCCGCAGTTTATGCACATCTGTAACAGCAGAGAGATAGGAAACCACATTAAAACGTGAGCAGGTAATGGGGACAGTCCTGGGTGTTTCTTTTGAAAGGTGCAGACGGGATTTGCACGGACAGGCAGCCATTTCTGGGGGTTTCAAAGCCATGACGTACTCCCTGACATTGTTACGATGGCAAAAGGAATTGGGAATGGTTTCCCAATGGCAGCAGTTGTTACAACAAAAGGTATGAGCGTTGTGTTCTACTGAGGGGGAAGATAAAGCAGATGCAAGGTACGCTGTGGAGTAGTTAATTACTTGTTCCAGCAGCTGAGCTTCATTAGTGTTCCTAGTCTCAAACTGTCTGTTGAGATAAATGAATCAGATTCCCATGGTACTTGATTGATTAATTGCTGTGTTACAGCAGCGTAAAGTTTTATTTAAATGGGGCTGGTTGTGTAACTGAAGCAGAGAAGATCTTGTGACACTTGGGTAGAGCTGGCAGCAGCCCCTGGGAATTGTGCATAATTCAGTTTTTGCTCAGTAACGTGCTGTGTATCTAAATGCTGCTTGCTGGCCACAGCTTGATTCACACGAATGATTCACTGAATCACTGATTATGGAAGGAAATTTGTAGATGTTGTTTTAAAGGACACCTGGCTAGATGGGTTAGAGGTGTAACACTTTAAAACTCTACCTTTAGCAACTGCCAGGCTTTATAGCGTGGGGAATAGTCACAGTAGCCTCYGACTTGCTGCATAACAAATTGAAATCTTCCTGTCTATCTCCAGGAGAACCAGGGTGGAACACAGCATTGTTTCAGAAGTTAAAGCAGCTAAATTCTGTTATGGAGCAGAAGGGCCCTGCAAGGGAAGAAATGAAAATGTTTTTCTTTTTCTTTTAGAGATTGCAAGTGCCTTGGCTCAGAACCTTCACATTAACACGTTTGGAGGCAACGCTGTGGCTTGCGTAGTGGGAGCTGCAGTTCTTGATGTAGGGAGAATGTTACGGGGTCTCTGCCCCAGGCTTTTTCTAATAACAAAAGATGAAAAATATTTACATTTGTTTTTATTATAAAGTTAGATATGGACAATCTTATATAAATAACTATAGAAAAATCTATGTAAGTATTATTTTTATGTGGTCACTGTGCCCTGTGGGTAGGAAAACAGTAATTGCTGATTTGTTCTATTGTAAAATTTTCATCCCGGTAGCAAGAATAATCATCCTATATAATTACATTACATAAAAATGATCTTTTCTCTTCCTGTAATGTTTTTCAATTTGTTAATAAAAATGTAGGAAAGGGCTTTGAAAAAGTAGCACTTACTAGGATGATGCAAAACCTCAGTTAAGCTAAATTTATTCTTTGACACATACATGTAACAATTAATTAACTCCACAGTTTCTGCCTTCTGCATAAAAAGACTAATAATCAGATAGTTAAGGATATATAAGGACAGGATATATATCCCTTCTGAAAAAGAAAAACTCACGAAAAAGACACAGAAAAAAATACATTATTTTAAAATATTTTTAAAATATCAGGTAAAATACTACCTGATTGAAAATCATGAAGTGGGCAGTAGGTTGCTATTTAATTCGTGGTGATCACACACAGACCAGCCTTCCCTGGCTCGGAAGCTTCACTATAGCAGACAGTCCGTTTAAGCCCAGCTTATTTTCCTGGCTGATTTTTCTCATAGCTGTTTCTTAAAATGTACCCTGTTGATGATACAAATTAAACCATTTTGAAACACCAAATTACGAGTAAGAAAGTCAACACCAGTATTTTCATTTGGGGTTGGGGGGGGGCTATGAAATAACTTTAAGGTATTAAAATGAGTGGAAAAGGACACAGCAGGATCAAAATATTAACTTGCCATTAATCATCTGATGCTCTTAGTGGTGTAGAAGGGAGTAAGGGCACTAGTACCACAGCACAGTCTGCAAGAGGRAGGGAGATGAACATGATGTAGCTGATGCGGCTCAAGCTTTCCCAGCAATGTTGTTGTTTTACATCATTTTAATCAGGCTATTGAAGAAGATGGACTACAGCAGAACAGCGAGGAGGTGGGAACGTACATGCTCCTGGAGCTCGCTAAACTGCGGGAGAAGTTTGAAATTGTTGGAGATGTCCGTGGCAAGGGGCTTATGATTGGGATAGAAATGGTCACAAATAAGGTTGGTGATTTACTTTATTCCTTTTAATTTACTGGGCTCCTGAAAGAGTTATTTCAGCTGAAACAAAATGATTGTGGTAGCAGTAGGACTTTTTTTTAATTAAAGAGAGAGTAAGAGAGACCGTATTCTGACTAAAAATTGGCTGGAACATTCAAACTGCTTAAATATTTCTAAGTTTTGGGTACACAGCRAGTTGTAAGCTCAGCCTTAAATTAAAGCTGCACATAAATTGTGCAGCTAATTTATGAAGGGGGGATGTAATCTATTGGAGGCAGTAAAATACACACTAATTTCGAGTATTTAAATGAAGTTTAATGTTCACTTTTCACAGGGCAGCCGCCACCCTCTTCCAGATGAAGAAATCAGTCAGATCTGGGAGGACTGCAAGGACATGGGAATCCTCCTYGGCAGAGGAGGGCTCTTTCGTCAGGTACAGAGCTTCTGGTTGCATCCTACTTCACTTGGACTTAATTAACTTTAGTTTAATCAGTAAACTGGAAAACACATCCAAAGAACTCTGCCTCCTTTTCTGATCTAATTAATCAGGCAGGAGGTGTTTGTGTTTTCTCACAAATACACTGAACTAGCTCCCATTTTAGAGAGGTAATTCCCCCAAGAAAAGCAAAGCAACATCCTAGAACAGATCATCTGCCAGAGGAAACCAGCACTATTCAGGCTTGTTAGCTCTGGCCATTTCACAGGTTATCACTTGATTTGATGGCAAGAGAAACAATTTTTTTCTTGTTGAGGCTTCCAGTCAGGAYAGCTGGTAGTCTCCTGCCTGCCTGGTAATAGAGAGGCTCTTACTAGTAAATTTGGCAGTGCAGCAGCATGAAGAAAGGGTCGTGGGTTAATTCATCCTGAGATCCTGCACACTGTACCAGGACATCGTGGCAGGAGCATCTTGTGCTTAGTTAATGACAGGGCTGCCTTAAGGACAATAGCTCAGTTAAGCCCTGGGAGTTGGAGGAAGGAGCCTCTGTAGAGGTTCTGCTCTTGGATGCTGATTTCAAACTTTCTTGGATGCTGGTTTCAAACTGCAGCTTAGAGTGCAGCAAAATGCAGGTTTGTCTCCTAAGAATGTGCTTGAATATCTATTAAGTGTCTGTTACTTTCAGTTGGGGCTGTGGGTGGGTAAGATCATTCTGTACTTGGTGTATATAGTCCTGGAATATGATGATAGGAAAACTTAAAGGTTTAATATTCTTAGGGAGGGTAAATAGTTTTGGAAGCTACAGAGCAAATCTGGCTTTAAGAATTTAAATTCTTACCCTGTTAAACTGTATATATTTTATCCTTGATCAACATGCATCCAGGCTGTATTACTCTCCTGCAGGTCAGTTTTGAGCAACTGTTTCATAAAGCATTCTGCAGGAATTAAAGGCTATAAACAACCTTTATAACTAATAACAACTGACAGCAAATTAGTTGACAGCCAGTTAGCACAATGTAAGACCGCTGCCCTTCTGCATAGACTCCTTTCATAGCAGAACTGCCCCTCTCAGCCCTTTCCTGCTACAAATCCATGTGGGGATTTATGCTGGGCACATGTTAGACCTGGGCACATGTTGTCTGCTCTTGTCAGGTCTCTCATGGAGGCAGTTACTGTGTCCCCAAAATAAATGGGGCAGGTTGCTGTAGCCGAGTCCAAGATTATCCCTCTTCAGCCTGCAGTAATCAGAGGTAGTTCTGCTGTTCATTGGTTTACTGATTTTTGTTTAGATGCTGTTTTTGGCAGAAGGTGAGTGCCAACCTAAATGAGCTGCTAGAACCTGTATTCTTGTCCCTGCACATCTAAGGATTTCTTTCCCCCTCTCCCTCTCTCCTCAGACATTTAGAATTAAACCTCCCATGTGCATTACTAGAAAGGACGTAGACTTTGCTGTGGAAGTATTTCGGACTGCRTTAGAGAGACACGTGGAAAGAGCAGCTGCAAAATAGACTGGACCTGGCGCCTTCACAGGAGCTAGCCCCTGATCCCCTCCTCTCCATCACCCATCTCTGCACTAATCCTGTAATTCAGCTGCAATGGACAAGGAAAAAGACACTCACAGGCTGGAGCTGGAGAAGTTGCTCAGCACAAGACGACCCTTCACACACATCAGTATTTAAAGAACAATCTGGTTTGTAAACATACCCTTCAGTTCTGCAGTGGTGTTTTGTATTACACACCTTTTCTAGGGTTCAGGTAAAAAGACCCCAGATTACACCACCCTGGGCTCAGAGTAAGTGGAAAACATTTATTTTACATCTATAAAGCAATCAATATTTTTAGAAAGAGTAACAAATTWAAACTGTCCTTAGCTAATAACCTTTCTTTGGACTGCAGAAGCACAGAGTAACTAGCTTCAACAGCAGCATTTCCAGTTGTCTAGACAAAAGTGCAAACATTTGTAAAACAAATTATATATTTTTTACTTTCTTAAATAGAAAAAAAACACAATCGAAGGCGAGAGGCACAGCAGGGTAAACTCTCCTTTTATCCCATGATGTAAGACTTCATTTATTATATTTWAAAAAGGGTAATTCAGTCTCAGGCTGTGAGCTACCCTGAGCAGAAAATAAGTGGAGATTTTGAACAAAGTTAAAATTGCTTCCCCCTCTTGCAAGGATTCACTGTAATTAGAGCAGGAAAAGTAGGTATGCACATAAATAGAAAAGTTTCTGCCCAACTAAGTAGCTGCTTTGGGAATTTACTTAGTACAGCCAYTTAAGAAGGGGCATGAAGCATGATGAGATAAGATGTTTCTTTCTTACATAATCATATTTGTTTGGAAAAAAAAATCATTATTTCCTTCAGGCACCAAGAAAAATTAACTGTACATTTGTCATCTTACTTTGATTACAGTTGTAAAGGTTGAATCATTCCTTAGCCCAATAAAGTTACCATGTTCCCCTTGCAAGGATGTTTCTGTCGTTTTATTTCATGAGCTGACACTGAAGAGGAATTCCTTTAAAAGAACATGTTGCTTCTACAAAGTTTTGCTCTGGAGCCTTCCTAACCACGTACCACAGCCCCTGCCCTTGSTGAGTGCTGCCTTCTAACCACACAGTTGATGGGTTTTTGAAAACATTTTGTAAGTTTTAATCCCACTTCCWCTTTAAAGGTATTTGCAGCATTTATGATCAAGTAGACTATACCCAACAGCATAAAGTTTTGTTTTTGTTCTTCATTCGAAGGAAAACAACTAACCAAAAATAGCTATTAGCTCCTATTTTTTTTTTCCTCCTCAACTGGTGCCTGTAACCTAGGGATGCTCTTTGTTAATGCAGAGCACCTTGCCCATCGTTACATGGAATTGCAGCTCTCATCCATTTATTTCCCCTTCGCTTGGACCACTAACATTCTTCCACTTTTTAAAATTTTTTCCCCAACTGCCTGCAAGTGCTTGTATGAAATCAATCAAGTGTCAAAAATATTCACCATTATCATCCTGCTCATATTTCTCTCAAATTATATAATTTCAAAGATAATGTGTTCACGGATAACAGAAAAAAAGGGCTTTTTTTCTGTTTCTTGTATATGTTTATTTCTTATAGCTGGGCAAATTAGCACACAGTCCCCTCTAACTTAAAAACAACTTGCTACACCCAACAGGAGCTGAACTGTTTCAAAAAATAAAAAAAAAGGTATTAAGCATAAGTGTTAAAATAATTTATTTCCTCCGCCTGGCTATGTCATCCACGCAAGGTTACCTGTTTCCTGCCCCACCACCCCACCTTGAGAGCTGCTGGCAGGGTAGGTAACACTCACTCACTGAAGAAAGGCTGGTGCAAACAAGAGAGAGCAGGGATTGCTGCACAGGATAACATTATTTGGCTGCATCTTCCTTTCCTCCCTCCCCAAAACTAAGAAGCTGCCTTCCCTGTTCAACTCAAAAACACAGGAAATCTGCACCTTCCAGGTCTGAGAGTTTTCATAGATGATCCTGAAGACTGTCACTGTAACAAAGTTCTATCTGTTTTTACGTTTCTCTTTTTTGTTTCTGGTGTGTACGGCTCCGTTTACAGCTGGGGCTTGCATGGCTTTTGCGTGGCCTGTAGCCTTCAGGTGCTCGAACAGTTTATTCCGAGATGGAAACGCCGAGTTGCAGGTTACACAGTGGATGGGAACTTCACTCTACAAAAGGAAAACAAAACAGTAGTGCGTAGTGCTTCACCCCATGTATAGGATATGTAATGAATTCACCACACTGRTTTGTGCTGTGTAGATTCTCTTAGACAACAAAATGTGATTACTCAGCTGTTTGCTTCTATACTGTATGTATGATTACTAATGAGCAATTGAGAAACAGAAAAAAAATCCTAAAACACAACTTCTTAAAATATTAAGGCAGGCCAAGTAGAGCCAAGAACAGAGAGAGAAGCCTTACAAMTATAAGCCTTTTAAGATAACAAAGGCTTAAAATCTTAACTGCCTAAACAAGACTATTCATGCATAGTCTTGGGCTCTAAGCTATAGTGAATTAAGTAGGTCTTAGCTAGAAGATCTTAAGAGTTTTGATCACTGGGAAGTGGAAGYATCAATAGTGATAAAGATTCAATGTTACTGCCTATCACCTGCTYGACAGCAGGTCTCTTGGGTGTACAATTTAATCTGGCCGAGTTGCATTGGTGAGACCAGGGCTACGTTTCACTACTGAGAGAGTTGCTACTTTCCCTGAAAAACATAAAAGTTGGTCCTCCAGGCTTCTAAATTCTAATGTAAGCTCAGGAATAGAAAGTATTGTGGACTGAAGGTGATCAACAATTTTGTTTTTAATTTTATACTGTTTAGAAACTGGTGATTTTAAATAACTTGACATACCGTTGCTGGGTGCTCTGATGATGCCTTAGCAGATTTTTTTGCATCCTTGGGTTTTTTCCCTTTAGGCTTAGTACTGCTGGTAGACAAAAATACATCATGATCAGTGTAGCACGGGAACATTCAATAACACATTTAGTGCCTTTGATCATTTTCAATCAGCATCCCTGCCTCCTCCCTTCCCTTCACACAGTCAGTAAAAGCATCACTTTCATTGGGACTTGTCAATCTCAAGATTTAGCTAGATGATGAAGTAATTACTGGTGAATGAACTRGCACCTACTGATATTCAAAAGCCATTTTCAAATTAGACTGCTTGTTTAGTTTTACATTTATTTAACTCTAATGATTTATCGGAGCAGCCTCCAATTCACATTGCTGAGAAAATTCAGACTGTATCAAACAGGGCACAGAATCACGTAATCACTGCTGTATTACAGATCAGTGCTGAAGAAATTACCTTTTCACTTCATTTTTTGCCTCATTTGCTTGGCTGATGTCTTCTATAGCACTCGTTTCCTCTGACACAGAACATTTTTGGTCATCAGTTACGAGCTGCTCTACTGAACCACTGTCCTTGTCTGCACTGGGAGCCTCCTTCTGTTCAACTGGTTCTTCAGCAGCAYTTTTATCTAGAGAGTCCTCATAAGTCTGTGAGAGAGACATAAATATAAGTTAACTACTCTGCAATAACCAGTAATTATATTTCTAACAGTCATTTTTGTCATCCAAGAGAGGGTGGGGAAAAACCACGCACACAAAGCCATCAAATTTCTAAYTTCATTCTGTGCTTTCAGTGTCACYCTCAGTTATCTTAGTTTGAAAGGTGAGGCCGTTTGTGCTGAAGAATCAGTGTAGAGCCCCCATTAAGATAAAACCTCTAGAACTTGAGGAGGAAGAATTACAGAGCTGGTAGTTATACACTGCCTTCAGACTGTTCAGCTACCATTTCACATTATAAATTAATGGCTTTGATTGAAACTGTGCCACATGTTAAGTGTCTAGTCTAGTTTTCTGTGCTACACATCTGGATTAGGACACTGAAGCCAAAATAACTGACTGATGCTACATAGATGTGCTAGACATTCCCCTCTTTGGAACTGTGCTACACATTCCCTCTTTGGAAGACCTTTTCAAGTGTTCCCTCTTTGGAGGGAACCCATTACCATCGATGGGATGGGTATCCCATCGACTGGATGATGGGACCCTACCTATGCTGAGATGTTTAGCCTCAGGACAGGGAGTTCTGTCCTGAGCAAAAAAGTCATATCCTGAGCATGTGTGAAGCAGAACAGCTCGGCTCCTCAAAGCAGCTAACAAGATGGAATAACACTATGCTCATGCAACTGCAGCTCCTCTAGTATTTTTGGCAGAGTTGCAACTGACTGGCAAAATTTGTCTAAGCTACCAACCTCCATAAAAACAAACAAATCCCACCAGCATCTATACRTGCTCAGGAGAAGCCAGGTAGAGGATGGGGAGTTTCCAAAAGAGTCTCTCCATAMTAAGAACATTCCAGCTCATGATATGTGAGATGCAACCTGTGCTCTGCGCTGCAGACCTTATAACAGAATCGATGGCAGGGAGAGAAGTCCCCCATACTCACTCTACACTGCAAATCAAGACCCTCTGAATCCAAATGGAGGGGACATGAAGGACAGGAAGCTGATCGGCTGGATGGAAACAAGAAGAAAGAGCCAAACTCGCTTCCAGTTATGTGAGTGTCTGGGAGGGTCTCAAGGACAAGAAATAATGATGGCAGAGGAGAAAGCAGAGGAAGGGAATACAAACAGGAGACTACATGGAATAGATTGGGAGAAAGGTATGAGACCTTCTTGGCAAAGGATGGAAGATGCAAGACCTGGTAAAGGGAGTTGCCTGGGACAAAATTAGGACCAGGGTGTTAGGTAGGGAAGAAGATTTGAATAGATCAAGTTTCAGGCGACGAGGCAGAAGAGTTTGCTTCCTGTGGTACTCCTGCCACTCAAGCCTGAACAACTCCTCAAGTTTCAGCCTGCTGCTGTCAGCACAGAGCTGTCACATCACAGACAAACATAGGTCCTGGAGCACCACAGATTCATCACTGCTGTCTACATGTCCTGCTATGCAGTATCAACAGGATGCCCTTCAAGTTAGGGCATTACAGACAATAAATTATGATACCAAGTTAAGCAAGAGAAAATCAGAAAGTGGAAAAAAAATGAACATCAAGTTGCTAATGCACTGAGACCACTGACTGGTTTTCTGGCTTTTCTTTTTATTCTCCCTATCTCTGTGTTTGTATCTGTTCCCTTTTTCCTTGTACAGAAGCTTTTGAGGGGTAAGCACCAAGTCAGATCCTTGTATAATGAGCTTTGATTATTACAAAATATTATAACAAGAAATCATTCATCACTGAAGTATGAATTAGAAATAGCTAACCACTTTCCAGAAGTTCTGTGTAATTTCAAATTCTCTGTTTTTCAGGACAAAASAAAAGGCTAAGTTAGGAGACAACAAAATAGGGTTGTAAAGTTCCCTAAGTTTTGTTTTCTCCAACTCCATACCGTCATTGTTTTCTGTTTCTTCTTCTGCTTCTTGGAGAGTCTGTGAAGATAAGAATTTAAAATTACCTTTCAAAAACACATTCAAAAACAGAAGTATCATTTAGAAAAAGGTACCAAGTTATATTTTTGCAAAACATTTTAAACATGAAATTAGAAGGAGAAAACTAGAACTRAAATGACTTGCTTTCTTCACTTCTATTTCCAAACACAGTAACATTTTGTAGCAAGTTTCTCTGGTAAAAACCAACAATCATTACTTTTCCTTAGCATGTACTTTAAAACAAAAGCAAACAAACAAAAACAAATAAAAAATGGAAACTTATTTTACAGCATTTGAATCTATTCATATTAAAGGAAGCATGTCATTGGATCTCTCATATAAAGAAATATTTTAAATTGCCTAATACTATGAGTTCCAACACAACTGTACATCCAACTAGAAGTCCTCATTGAGAGGAATCAAAACTTATAAAATGATTTAGCATAATATTATATAAGTTAAAACAATTTAAAATACTTCTGTTTGGGTGTCTCTTCTGTTTCTTCCTCCTCTTTGGTCTTTACTCCATTGGCATCATCCAAAGATGCAGAAAATTCTTCCTCCTCTTCTTCTAGTTGCTGCCGTAACAGAGCTACCATCTCTCGATGCTTCTTTGATTTTTCATGATTCTTCATGCTATGAAGACCAGGAAGCAGTTACGGCAAGTAGCTTCGAACAAATGCTGTTATACTTGCATATAAATGAATAATAAACCCATTATACATCACTACAAACACAGAAAATTATGTCCTGACAGTGATGACATTACTTCTAGACACTGACCATTAAGTGAAGCTTCTTTACCAGTTTTTCCAAGGAAACAAAAAAATAAAACCAAAGCGCGAGAGACTTACGCTTTCTCAGTTTTTAACAGTTTGTCACAAGCAGGGCAGTAGAGATCATCAACACATTCTGCTTCCTCAGCCTCTTCACTCATCTTGTCTGAAAGGACGGGAATTGGAAAGTTTTATCAGCAGTTTTCAAGTTAGCTGCTTGTAAAGCCACAGCAAATAGTCGTAACACGGATACCTGACTTCTTCGGTATTACTGACATGCAGACAAATCAAGATTATCTCACCAAACCATAATTAGCATAAATTTGCAGTTCTATCTCAATGTCTTATGTCCAATGGGAAACAGCAAGAAGAGCCAGACTCACCTGACACAACCCCAATGAAGGTAGCAGACAGTTAAAATTGTGAGTCTAGATCGCGAGTCTTTAGGTGTAGCAAACTCTGGCCATGACTCACAAAAGGTCTCACACATACCTTCTATTCCTTCTTTTATCTCCTGTTCTTCTAAGTCATCATCATCCTCTGATCCATCTCCAAATTCCTTTTCATATTGTGCCTCCATCTCCTGCAATTCTCTCTCCAGATCTGACATAGTCATCCAGCTCTGCTCTTTATATTGTTCTGCAAGCCTTTAAATAGAGTAAGAGTAACTTCTACATGTGTGTTTATGAGACAGGAATTAAAAAAAAAATATAGTATTAAAAATGATTTGTCCATTTCATTTATTTTAGAAGAAAACTCTTGAATGTTTTATGATAGAATAAACAATTGCTTGTGGGGCCTGGAAATCTGAGGAATTAATTTCTGACATCAGAGGGCACATCTACGCTGCGAGTGAAGAGGTATTAACACAGCTAGACCCTTTTTATATTTCAGGCAGGAAATGCTAGGCAGTATGGTACAGATATCAAGCTGATAGCAAGAAAAGAGCTCAATCTTAAAACCAGGAGAGCTTCATTTACCTATTGCGAGATGACAACTAGCACAGCAACACAAAATGCATAGGCACATCACTTCTCAGCTCTCAGATTTGGGAATGTACCAGCTGTTTCCACACCCAGCGTGACCCAAATTACCCCTTCATTGTGCTGCTCAATTTTGGTCCAGCTGACTGCCACTAGGAAGCCTTTTGCCAGTAAATGCATACCTCTCTGCTTCATGCCCTTTAATAAAATATATCAAAAGCAAAATCAAGTAAAAGCTCATCTGAAAAACAAGTAAAACATTCAAGCTCCTTCCTGCCATTTCCAGACAAAAAGCTCTCCTGGTTTGAAGACCAAATTGTACTTGCTCTGGGAGGTTGCCATTCTCCACCTCCTGCTTAAATTTTGTGAAAAATAAAAGCACAAAAGCATGCATTTGGCCAAATAAAAGGGTCCCTACTACCATATTATAAGAAAAAGCAAAAACATACTCATTTTTTCTACTTCACTTTTTAGAAGGTATGATTACAAGGATTACAAGGCCATTTAGACTCATCTATGATTGTTACTGTTCTTTTTTTCCCTTTATTCCCTAACATCCATTTTTTTTTCCTTTAAAGTAACACGAGTCTCTCTAAAATTTTAGTTCCCTAGTTAAGTAAAAGCTCTGTGCTACTGCAGCCAGTTACCTGCAATGCACAGATAACTCTCCTGGTTACCCCCGGTATCTCTAGACATCAGCACAACACAGATACATTCAGCTTGAAAAACCTCTCACTTAAGGCCAAATTAAAACAATTTTCAAGATGATTAAAGAGCAAATGCAGCTGCTATTAGAATCTTGCCCAATGTAGAATCATCACGGATCATTCTCTAAGCTTAAAACAGAGGTGTTCCACATATACGTACTTGGCTTGTTTGAGCTTCTGCTGCCTCCGAAATTCCTCTGCTTTCCTAGCTTTTTCTGCATTTTGCTCTTCTACAAGTTTTCTGTGAGCCTGCACTCTTTTATCCCTTTTACGAATAAAGGCAACTAGCTGACGGACGAGTTCATTCCGCTCCTTCCTCGCCTTCTCCCTTGTTTTCTTGTTTTCTTTTTCCATAGCCCGTTTCTCCCAGCGGTTTGATGCTTGCCGTGTGTCATACTCCTCTTTCCAAGCAAAGTTCTTCCGAGTACAGAAACTCTGCCAATATGCATAGAAAGGGTGGACTACCTGTTGGGGTAAAAAACAAAACAAAACTTCAAATTAGTCATTTTATTGGGAGGGTGGGAACAGGTATCAAATCCATTGGAACTTTCACAGCAGTTTGTCTCCTACATAGGCTATAGTTTTTCCCTAGGTACCAATAAATTACTAGAGGTTTCTCTAAATCTTCCTCATTTTTAAACTTTTAAACCGTAGCAAGTCAACAACCCATTCCAYTCATCTGTCCCAAACTCCAGTTTCTGGATTGAACTGCACTAACAGTAGTGAGCAGCTAGTTAACACTGCTCTACCTCTTGCCTGTCAAACTGAAGAGCACATCCGGAATCAGATATTCCATCCACAGGCAAGTGCCTGTGTACACTACAGAACAATCACTGCAGCAAGTTACACCAAAGGTCATCTCTACCTTTTCAACACTGGTCAAGAACAAAGAGCAACAAAACCTAAAGTATATAATGCTATTACTTCTCAGTATATCCACTCTGCTACCCCAGCAAGAGAGAAAACCTGCTTTACAGCCCTTGAGAGTAAAAGAAATATTAAAGAAAAATCTAACTCATAGCGGCTGCTGGCATCTACAATATCCTTGAGATGTGTTTTGCACAGTTTAACTATGAAGTATGTGAAGATATGTTTGCTTTTGTTAGAAAATTATAAGACTGCTCATTAAAATGATGTCCTCTATCTCTCACATTACAAGAAACTGAACACCTTTTTTTCCCAATTCTTCCTTTTTCTTGTGAGTAAACACTGGATTAATAAAATGGCATAACAGCTGTATTCTTTTTTTTTTAATCTACTCCTTCCTCAGTAACTATCAACACACTTTATTTTGCATATAAAGGAAACAAAAAATGTTTAAAATCCCTTCTCTTACATTATTTTCCCCATTAACCTGCATTTTGAGTGCTTATCCCTCCCTGCACTACCACTTCTTTTTCAGAAGATAACAGAACATAAGCCTATGTCTTTAACCTAAGAGCTTACATTACACTTTAATAATCTCTTCTTCCCCTTACATCACTGGATATCTGGACTCATATGGACAACAATAACCAAAACGAAGCTATGCATGTGTCCCCAGTAACCTAAGTGATGATAGCCTCTATTTCTACTATCTCAGATTTCTGCTCCAGAAAGGAATGTCTTCTGTCGAAAAGAGCACATGGCCACCAGTTGATGACATTGATCTTTCCTCCTCCTTCACCACTGTATGAGCTGCAAAACTCTTGCTCGGTAACTACCTGAAATACAAGCATGTCTCCACCACCTTTATACACCATAGTAAACCAGTCGTTGCTGGGCTGTCAGCTGGATTGTGCTTCACTTACTACTTATAGCTACTGATTGCTTTTGTTCTAATTGACCCACATGTTCCCCTCATAAAGTCTTGTTAAGCCACAGACTTACAAATACTTTTTACTGGTTGCCTGGCACTGGTCAGGTCACCTCTCAAACTGATGAATAGGCTGAGTAGATTGAGCTACAAAACATTTCCATCATAGATTTTTAAGCCTCTAGATAATCTTTGTAGCTCTTTTCTAAAACTTTCTTCCCTTTCCCTTTTCCTTCCAACTAGAGATGCAGACACTTAAGTGCTGGAATCTTCCAGATTCTGATTTTGATTCTGCTGGAATTGAAGCAGATACCAAGTTACATTCTAAAATTTCAGCTATTTCTGTAGTTATTAGCTGACAGAATAAATGCTATTTTTGTCTATAATATCAGTTCTGTAGCTTCTACACAAGCACTTTACAAATATGTTTCAAGCTCACTCCATTAAAAAGAGTTTTTAACAATTTCAGAGACACTAAATATTTTCTCCCTGGGGAAGACTTTAATTTGTTAAGCCATCCTATAAAACATGAAACCCAAAGAAACATTCTGACATTCATTCTAACTTATTTTCTAACCTTGTTTCRAATTCCTGCCAAGTTTCACATACAAGTTTCTCAGATTAAGGTGCATATCAATTAGATCCTATAAACAATCTTACAAGACATTACTAAAAGTGCCATGGAGAGGTAATAGACCAGGAGAAATAATTAAAAGTGCTGGTCCTATTCAGTCATTCATTGGGACTATTCACATTCAAATAGAAATATGGGAAACTTAAAAAGATAATATTGACAGAACACAACAAGTAAACAAGAGAGGAGGAATTCAGGTCTGTACCATTCCTTAAGGGAAGGATGTGATATTCTGGAAATTAAATCTAACTACAGAATAATGCAGATGACAGGAGCATCTCGGTATGAGCTCCTACCGGACGTCAACCACCACACCTCATGTTCCACATCTGCCTTATGGTGCRAATGCATTTTAGGTTTTCTAAACAAGGCAAGGTATTGTTTGTACTGTTAAAAACACTGTATTTTAAATTCCCCTTTCTGTAAGTTACATTAGAGCAGTGGGAAACTATTCTCATTGACAAGTCAAGAAAAGATCTGTTCCTGTGTTTCTTAGGCTCTGCATAGCACTTAAGTTTCATTGGTGTAATTGATGGTTAGGCCTGTGAAATGCAGGGTTTTCACAACTCATCACTAAAAGCCTAGCTACTAATGTAATCCAACAGGAAATAACAATTTTGATTCATCTAAATATTATGAGTCATAATTTAAACATTTCCTTTATAAGAGCAATAATCTACAATGGTAGAAAATAGGGTACACAGGTGGATTTGTATTCAACTAAGGTCACAGTAGGAGCTTTTTCTTTGATTTCAATGCAAGGCAAAGAAATCACTCAACCCTTCTTACCTTATCATAGTCACTTTGGGAATATCCAAACATAGGGAATTCTTCAGCATCTTCCTGGGTCATGTATTCCATCTCTTCTTTTGCAATCTTTTCAAAAACTTGTCGATAGACTGTAAAGAATCCCTGAAATAAAAAATAATAATCTGTGACTCATTCTGTATGGTTTATTAAGAGCACAATGCTCAGTTACGGTAGCGTATTTTAGACAAATATTACAATTTGTAGCAACAACTTTAAAATCAGTAACCCTGGTACAGGCCTTRTAAGTGATAATGAAACCCATTCTGTGTAAGAAAGCTCCCATTCTCTCCCATTCCCTTTATTTCCATATCCTTTGTCTATTGTCTCTTTCTGTCTCACATCAAGCACCTATATTCAACTCAAATAAATAGTTTTCTTWTTTAAATGTTTTATTTATTTTTACAACATGCAGCAGATGTTGATGTCTTTCGTGCTATACAGGATCAAGTTTTAAAGAAGGCCCAAATATAAAGAACACTATCAAGTATCCTACTACTATATTTTATTTTTAAATTACAGTTTATAACTCGTTACTACTATAATAACACAAAGAAGTGAGAATACTCTCACATAGAATTATTTCTAATCACCCAGAGCTTTTTAACTTAAGATTAGCATCTTAAAATCCAACACAAAGTTACTTTGCAGCAAGTGCACTTTCACTCCCTGCACTTGCATTATGTTGTTTTTCTTTGGCTTGAGACATTGTAGCTATTTTTAAGATATTACTGAAAAGTATTGAGATTCTCCAGTATATAAAAATACAAAGACATGCTCTGTAATTGCAGGGTATAGTTTGAAATCACAGCCAGGTAGTTGTTGGGCAATAAGCAGAAATTAAAATTTGATTAAATATCCAGTGGAGCTTTTTCTTATCCATGTTAAACATTTCTATGAATAGCTTTTTAATATTAAGTGAATGTTGATATTTTTCGTAAGCTTTAAGCTGATGCATTAGAAATGAATCAGTTTATTACCTTTTCATCATCTCCAAATCCAGAATAGCAGCTAACAGTGAAGTAGTGCAGCAGATCTAAACTATCATCCTGATAGTCACCATCAACCCCTCCTTTCAGCAGAGCTTCTCTATGATTATCATACCTACAAAAAAAATTCAGTTTCAGGGATGGAAATGACACAGAACATTCCCAATACAAGATAAGCAATATCTAAATAGTAGCCATATTACTTCAGTGTATTTCTTAGCCCAGTATAGGGAATTTGTCAGTCATGTACAACATCTTCAGAGACGTTAAAAACATTAATACAAACATATACCAAAAAAAAAAAAAAAAAATCCACATCCAACAGATCACAACTGAGTGTTTCAAAAAAGGTTTCAAAAACTGCTGTGTCCAAATCATCCAATACTTATGCAAAATCCAAAATGTGAATTAACATGAAAAGTGTGAAATGTGAAATTGTGAAAAAATAGCTCTTTGCTTCAAAGGAGGACAAAGTTAGTACCAGCATTCTCAGCTGCATAACCTAGTACCAGCATATTTGAAAGACAAGTTACACAGAATATTTAAAGTGACATAATCTCTTAACAAGAAACATTCATGTACATTTCAAATTAGAATTGTTACAGAAACACGACGGGATACTTGTTTCTGTAACAAGTGGCAGAATATATGTTATTAAGGTGTGTTATCTGCAGTAGATAGCAGCATATTCAACACTTGCATTTTTACATGGCAGCGCTGCCTTTTTTCCCTAAAGGCAGTTCCCCAACAGCAGTTTGGGACTCAGACTGCGGCGATACCTCATGACTGCAGGGACACTCGTGCTAGGACACAGACTACCTCCCACTGTGGAAGGAGCAACCTGAGGCCAACACTGTCCTGTCACCCRGTCACCCAGCACCACGAACGAATGGTGAGAAAGGCAGGGGTCTGTATCAGGGTCTCCCTCCTTTGAGTTTCTGAGGCAGGCAGCACATTCTGCATTAACTCTCAGCTACTCAAAGTCTGGAGTAAGGAATCAGGCACAGAGGCTCTGCCAACCAAACTACACCTCAGGTGAGCTGCAAAACAGACCTGGTGAGGACAAAATTAGGAACATGAAGCTGTCTTTGCCAGTCTACTAGGAGATCAATATTACTTACCAAGCTCTTTCCTGTGGGTCACTGAGAACATCATATGCTGCTTGGATTAACTTGAACTGTTCTGCTGCTTCTTCAGCATTCTCTAGATTTTTATCTGCAAGAGAAGTTTTTAAACTATGAAAAATTAAAAGCATAAGACCAGCACCGATCATGAACATTTAAGAAAATTGTTAGAAATGCTAGGCCAGCCACATAGCCCAAGGTGTCACTGGATACATTAAGGTATCACCAGACCACAGCTGACACAGCCCCCTCCCAAGTGCTTCCCGGTGCCCAGCTCACCGGGCAGGTCTGTTTTGGAAGAGCAGGAGCCCAAGGACACAAAACAAACRCAAGGGGGTATCAGCTGCCAGGCTTGAAAAGCACTTTCGCTCTGCGCTCAAAAGCGAGTTTCCCTCCCTCAGAGCAACGCTGCGACAGGACCGAGAGACACAACCTCCCTCGAGGCCCCTCACGTCCCCCCACAGCACGAAGCAGCCCCGAGCAGAGCGGCCGCTCGGGCCCTGCTGCCACGCCGAGGCCGCCCGGCCCTCCCGCCCCGCCGGCCGGGCTAAGGGGA